TATGTCATTTGTTTGTCGTGGACCTTTTCTTGGATCTCGTTTTTAAGTTTCCCTCTGATCTTAGCTGGGATTATTAAATATGTAGAGAAGATATTGTGTCTCAAGCAAAATAATTCACAAAAAACAAAACCAGTCATTTCTAATTTCTTTAATACTCAAGGTCCTCGAACCGATAACTCTTCAGCCAATAATGACCCTCAAAAAGCAAACACAAATGTGTTGGCTGGTTATCTATTGTTTATATTTATGAGACCAGATGTCAATGATTATCTCTCATCCCATAATGTTCCCGATGTTCGAAAAAGGATAAAAGCTTATGTCAAAGAAACTACACATATGGACGGCCTTGGTGCCATCGATTTGATGAACGGATTCTTCGGCCAAGGCAAATATGACAAATCGATTGGTGTTTTCGACATTCTTGCTGCTGAAATTGGATTTATATTTGACGTTGTTTACACCAAAGCTGCTTTGATTTACACCAAGTTGGGATGTTTATTGCGCTTCATCAGTTTCGCTAGCTCCTTCTCAGTTCTACTACTCTTCTTTATCAGCATAATTAATGAGCCAAAATTCCATTTCTCAAGAATTGATATTGGCATAACTGGCATCTTATTGAGTGGAGCTATTGCACTGGACCTTTATGCAGCATGTGTAATGCTTTCTTCTGATTGGGCAATTCTTGTTGTGCAATTTCATGATATTGTGTTCGTACGCAAAATATTTAAGGTCGCCTTAAAGTGCTTCCCTTTCTTATTGCGTCGAAACGAAAGGTGGTCAAATCAGATGGGTCAATTTGATCTATTGGAATATTGGTGGCGTTACAATAAAAGGAAGGTGAACCAATCATGGGGCATTCTACTGAAGATCACTAATGACCGTAAAATTGTTGAAATGTGGCACAAATACCGGTTCACTACATTTGTGACAGTTCCAAATTATTTGAAAGACGTTGACAATTACGACAAGCTCTCTAACTCATTCTTTTTGGAGAAAGAATTCAAGATATCAAGAGGAGAAAAGGCACTACAAGACATGCAACAATTTGATGAACTAAAATGGAGCATTGAATTGGACTTTGATCACAGCATCATAGTATGGCATCTTGCCACAAGTGTTTGCTACTTACAAGAGGATCATGATGATGATGAAGCCAGTGTTTGCTACTCGCAAGAGGATAATGATGATGAAATCAAGAAAACCAGTAAACACGTATCAGATTACATGATGTATCTACTAGCTATGTGTCCTGCCCTGATATTGCCCGAGCACAGCAAGAGTTTTTGGCTTGATCATACTTATGACAAGCTAAAAGGACTTGAGTTACCTGAAACTAATTCAAGAAATGCTGCTTCCACATTACTTTCTCATCAAGATAATGTTCCCAAAGAGGAGATTGAATCCAGGTTTGATGTTTCTAATTTCTTACTTTAATAGAATTATAAAATTAGAATTAAATTAATTAAAAATATTTCTTTCTAAAATCCTTTTTTTTTTCAAGTTGCATTGAGCACAATGAGAAGATTGAATCTAGGTTTGATTTTTTGAATTTCTTATTTTCATAGAATTATAAAATTAGAATTAAAGTAGTTTTATTTCTTTCTGAAATAATTTTTTTTTTACTTGCAGTGAGCCCAGAGAAGAGTTGGAATCTGGGTTTGATTTTTTAATTTCTTATTTTTATAAAATTATAAAATCAGAATTAAGGTAGTTTTATTTCTTTCTAAAATTCATTTTTTTTTCAAGTTGCAGTGAGAGAACATTTGAAAACATACAGGAAGAAGTGGTCGAATTAGTCAGAGTTTTGAAGCGATCAAGAAATAAATGGGAGCTGATTAGGAATGTCTGGATAGAGATGCTTTTTTATGCAGCGGTTTCAAGTCAGCACATTAGTCACCTTAAGCAGCTAAGAGAAGGCATTGAATTCCTCTCAATCATTTGGCTTTCCCCAAGTCGTTTAGTGATGGCTCGTTTCTTGGAAGACAAGTAACGTGATCAACATTTGGGGGCTTGGTGGCCTTTCATCTCATGTATGAATTACATAATTCAAGAAGTTACAACGAAATTTATGTTCATTTTCCTAAATAAATTTTCATATAGTAATTATTGCATGCATTGATCTGTATAAATTAAAATCTTTTGAATATTCAAGTTTAAAAATAATTATTATTTTCTAAATTAAATGAAGTGTCTTGATTAAACCTTCTAGCATCTATTTTATACATCTCCAATCTAGTTTTCTTATCCTTTGATTATGGTGGCAGTTGTGAAGAATTAAGCTAATAGTTAACTGGAAGTGTCTCTTTACTTTTAGCAAAATATATAATAAATTGAGAATAATATATATCAATCTAATTTCATGGAGTTTTAATTTAAAAACATCAATATTTTAAAAATTAACTGTTGAGTTCATATATTTACTTATATAAATCATATATGGTAATTTTTTAATTGGTTGAGTATATTTAGCAAATTAATTTATTATAAAATTTTTTTTAACATTTTTAAGTATTTATCGAGAAATATAATTTTTTAATCAAATAATTATAGTTATTAAATTAATTTAATATTATATATAACCTTGAGTAAGAAAACTCTAATTGGCGTCAAAATCCAAGTCCTGGCATAAAGTACAATATATAGTATAACTAGTGGCGTAGAATTTTTTTTTTTTTAACAGAGTGAAATTAATTACATATATTAATTAATTGGGGAATGAAAAAAATGTGATCCGTAAGGCTCTAACATGCAATCCAAAAATACAAACCATACCAATTCAGGGTTATAGCCACTGAACCAGAATATGATAGTGAGGCTACAATATTTACAGCATATAGTAATATTTATAATGGAAAATCTAGACATATTAGTCTCAGACATACTTATATTCGAGAGTCGATCACTAGTAGAGTTATAACAATAATCTATGTAAGGTTTGCAGATAATCTAGCTGATCCTCTCACAAAAGCATTACCACGAGATGTGGTGGAAAGGATGTCATTAGGAATGGGGCTTAAATATTTAAATTAGGCATTGGTAATGGGAACCCAACTTTTATTTAGTCATTTCTAAATTTAAAGTTTAATGGGTAAGAACAAGTTACTATATATGCATGTTTACCACTCAAAACCTATTCCTACTTTAGTCAAGTGTTGACTATTGCGTTTTGAAGGATGAGTGTAAACTCTTAATAGAGTTGATCATTTCTAAGTGTCTGTAGCAACAGAGACATAAAGAACTCCACCTAAATGGTCATAGAAGTGGTGCCGCTTCAACAAGAAAATGTTGGATTTTCTTGTAAATGACCATTATTAGCAGGATGAGCACATGGCCATAATAGTGCTAAAAGGTTTTAAACCTCTTGGATTAGGTAGACAAGTCTTATGTGTGTCACACACTTATGTCTAATATAAGTAGTTATGGTTTAATCTTTGGACACCAATAACTTCATTTGATATGAAATATGTACGCTAATGGAAGGTTTAAATCGAAAGATACCTTCTTTAAGCATGTTACTTGTCAAGTAGAACTGAATTGACATTTCCAAACTAGTGGGGGAATGTTGAATAGTTTGTAAATGTTTGAAATCCCACATCAATAAAGTATGGGAACTTAAAAGGAGTTTATAAATGCCTATTCTTTATCAACAAATAATTAAGTAAAGTGAAACCCAAGGAAAATTGAGTCTTGGCTCTTCATATATAGTCAAAAGATGGGCACTTAAGCACATTGGGACTTGACTGTCAGAACATTTTTAATTTTTTATTATTTTTTATTTTATTTTATTAAATTATAATTTGAAAAGACATATCTGAAAATCAAACATAACTATTGGCAATCAAAAGGTACCTTCATGAAATGGTGCCTTTTGGAGGGATATATCCTTTCAAATAGTAACTTTTCAGGCATTATAAATTCCTATGCAATGTTAGAATTCTACATCTAATTCTTTCTACATCTAATTTTGAAAGAGTTTTGAATTCTGTAGTATCCTAAAAAACTTTAAATCTTTAAAAAAAGTGAGATAACGCCTCAGAATAACTTTTTTATTCTTCTGCTATTTAATATTTCTTAACATTGGCAGTATCCACCCACCTTTCACAGGGACAAGGGATGAAGGGAAGGCAACCAGGAAAATTTCCGCACCAGAAGTTCCACATGACTTTCAGTTTCTGGGGAGGACGAGGCGTGGATTGAAAGACCGTTAAAAACAGGAACAGCGATTGCCACCCCAACAGCACTAATGCCCTCGACTACCGCGCTGCTTGCTAGGGACGTTAAAAATAAAAATAAAAATGGAGTACCATATATCAATTATTATGTCTGATATAAACAAGAATGAGTTGTAAATAACCCAAAATTTCATTTCCTGCCTTTAACTAAGTGAAATTATTAGCAAATCCCATCAATGAAGAAACTGGGGAAAAAGCACACACTCTTGGATTCAGCCATGTTAGTGCTTTGACGGAATACTAACCCCAAAACTGAAACATCTTTGTTCAGCCGTATTAAGGTTTCGAACTCTGCAAAAACTTTCTTATCAGGCGCCACGGAGAAATGTAAATGATAGTGAAAGCTGTAGAAGAGGAAGTTGTGTGCTTTGATTTATATAGTTGTGATGTGGTGTGAAGGGATATCAAATGTATTTTTTTTCTTTCTTTTCATCAAACTCATGGAACTTAAGCATCAATATACAAGAGAGTGAGGAATTGGATCAAGTAGTAAGCGGTTTGTTTCATCTTAAACAAGATTTTAAGTTTGAGATCTTGTATATGCAGCAATTTTCATTGAGAGACTCACCTACTATTTCTAGGTGCGCGACGCGAGTTGGGTTCAGATTAGTCTAGGCGAAATCCCAAATA